CTGCACATGTTAAAGACATGTCTACAACTGCACATGTTAAAGACATGTCTACAACTGCACATGTTAAACAGCAGATCAGCTGTATTATTCATATTGGCATTAAGAAATAGGCATGTTTTTTGGATGCATTTCTGAGAATTTCCTGCAATAATCACTGGATATCTTCAGTGCTTATGGATGCTTCCATTTCATTCCTTTTACCAAAGAAAATCAGAATGATTTTTACATATACCGTATTTTTTGGAGTATAAGACGCACCAGAGTATAAGACGCACCAAGATTTTGAAGAGGTGAATTTTTAAAAAAAAGGTTTTTGCACTCTGCAAACCTTCTAAAAATGGGCCTGGTTTTTTTTCCAATAAAAGGCATGAATAGCCTTTAGGGGGCTTGCAGAGTGCTCCTGGAGGTTGCCTCCCCCATAACGAGCAAACTGCCCTTTTTTGCAAAAACAGGCCTGTTCTTTGTAAAAAATTTTTTTTGCATGCATAGCCTTTAGGAGGCTTATAGAGTACTCCTGGGAGCTGGGGGGCAAAATTGAGCAAAAAAACCTGCCTGTTTTTCACTCATTTCTGCCCTCCCAAGCCCCCAGAAGCTCTCTGAAAGCCTTCTACAGGCTCTGCCATTTTGGTGAAGGGATGGGGCTTCGGGAGGCAAAAAATGCTGTATTCAGTGTATAAGACGCACCCAGATTTTTAGTCTCTTTTTTGAGGGAAAAGGGTGCGACATACTCTGAAAAATACAGTACTAATAAATCATGAAATACCAGCCAGAATATGAAATCATGGTCTACAGTTGGCTTAATAATTTGAATTGGTTCAAAGTTTTAATCATAGTTCCTGATTCTGACAAACCCAAATTATCTTACTCTCTATGAAAGAAGTTTGGGTTTAACTGCCTCTTTAAGTCTTTCAGTTCTTTAATTTTCATCTCCACAGTTCCCTCTACCATTATAAAAAGAGAAGCAACTATATTGTGGGTTAATACTAAATTTATTCTTTATTTGCGTTATTTATCAACTGTTCTTTATTAAAAGGTTTTACAACCAGAAAATGCAACAAAACAATATGAAAAGGCAATGCAAACATGGTAGGTCAGCCTGAACAATTTAAAATGCAGAGAGAAATGAAATTTTGACTTGGTACCAAAATAAATATAACATTCGCACAAATTTCATGACTGAGAATTCCACAATATAATATCAAAGGTTCTTTTCCTGTTTGTTACATAATGGGACAAAAGATACTTTGAAAAGAGTTATCCTTAATGAGGTCATGTAGTTACATTAAATTGTAACACTTTAAAACAAATTTCTTTTACAAACACCTAAATATTGCTGAAATGAAAATTAATTATTTGCCTGAACTTTGGAACCAAGGCGTGAAATATTCTAAACAAGTCAATGGTTAAGGATAGTAAAAATATTCAATATATTAATGAAAGAATAAAATTCAGTCAACACAAAGTGGAGGTTTTCAGCTTCATAATCTTAGAAGTGCAAAATTATGGAGGCAATGTATACATAATATGGGCTTATCCCACTATTGTTCCACTTTAGTTTTACATCTGTATATTTGTTAAGGAAGGGTAGCATTGTTTAAAGATGTGATTGCAGCTTTGAATTACATTCTCAGATCAGAAATTTATTAACATACAAAGGCTTATTTAGTAGAGCATACAGAGAAAATTATTATTTTTTTAATGCCAGTCTGGCTTTAAAGTCTTGAAATAACCGTATGCCTTTGCTCTTTGCTTATAAATTAGAACTGCACTGACCAAAATTGTTCTCTGTGATGGTGGCATAATACTGTATTTGAAAACCAAATTGACATTTCTTATGTATAATATAAAAAAAATATTTTCATGTTTTCCTCACGGTTGATTTTTTCAATTATGTATTTATTTATTTATTTACTTAATTATTTATTTTTGTCTATACAACTTTCTTCGGTAAGTTAAAACAATGATTTTTTTTAAAGGCAGGCAAAGGCTAATAAAATTAAAAATATCAATGACCCAAATTTACTCTGCACCAGGAATACTGTCTCAGGAGAAAGGATTCTGTCCTTAACATACTATTTATATTTCGAGAAGACGTTTAACTACCTAAGGGCCCATTTGCAATCTGAAACCCGCACAGCCAAAATACAGGTTGCATCGGCTAATGGTGAACTAGTGTTGCAAAAGCAGAGTAAGTGGTTTGTGTATATGCTACCTTTCCATCAGCAGGGACTCCCAACTCCTCCAAGAACAGGGGATGGATAAGCCATTTGTAAGCTTCTTTCAGCTGAACAAAGTTGTCTTTTCCAATTGACAAGCCCTGTTTTCTAAATTGCAAAAAAGACAAGTGTTTTCTGAAGTACGTGCAATTGGGATAAAACATAAACTGACCCATATTTTTACCATCTTAACAAGTTCTTCTGTAATCCATTTGTTTGTTTATATCCTATCTTTATTATTTTTACAAATAACATAAGGAGGTGAATATATTCAACACACCTTCCTCCTATATTCCCCAAACAACCCTGGAAGATGAGTTGGGCTGAGAGAGACTGACTGCCCAAGATTGGTCAACTAGCTTTCATGGCTGCAGGAGGACTAAAACTCACAGCATCCTGCTATATAGCCTGGTGCCTTATCCACTAGACTAAAGTGACTATTAACAATCTATTATAATCCAAAGATCTAAAAATAAGTAGAATACTGTACAGGACTGGCAACATCCTTCACAATTGCCAGAGTGGTAGTAGAAACACATTGATCCATGATGGAATATCCAGTATCAGTCATAGCTTTGACCACTTAAGTATACTATAATCATGTGCCCAGCAATCAGCTCATACATGACTTATCCAAGATCACTGCTGTTTCAATCATAATTAAATCATTTAAATCATATGAGTCACAGTGGCACAGAGGTTAGAATGCAGTACTGCAAGCTACTTCTGCTGCCTGCCGGCTTCCTGCAATTTGGCATTCAAATCTCACCAGGCTCAAGGTTGACTCATCCTTCCATCCTTCTGAGGTGGGTAAAATGAGGACCCAAATTGTTGGGGGGCAATATGCTGACTCTGTAAACCACTGAGAGAAGGCTGCAAAGCACTGTAAAGCGGTATATAAGTGTAAATGCTATTGCTATTTCGATACTTAAATTGTGTGGAGAATATACTCACCCCATTTCTTCTTTCACCAGTAGCCATGCTGCATGCTTTAGATATGTACATAGGAAAAAGTAGGGAAACAAAAGAGATGGAGCATGAGAAAGGAAGAGGACTGATATTTTTCTCAATAACTGGCTGAAAATACCCTGACCAGGTTTTCTCTACTTTTCATAAAAATCAAGGTCTGTCTGATACATAGGGTGATCTTTGGCCAAAGTATTTCTACCATCCCCAAGTGAAATACTAAACTTCAAATCAACCTAACCCAAACTGCCAGCAGTGATTTTCCACTTTGCTCCACTATCGATCCACCATCTTGGCTAACTAGTGCCAATCCATATTGTTCAATATCTGCCTAACAAAGTGAATTTCCCAGCATGCAAAGCAAGGTAACGTGTAAGAACATCCTTTCTTTCTCATTGAAGGCCAGTTTGAAGCATAAATAAAAGTATCAGCAAAACACCTACCTCTCTGACTGAAAGTTGTGGTGGGAACGACACTGAAAACACAAAACTGGAAAACTGATATTCAGAAGAATTAATCTTATGGCATACCTGAAAAATATAGATTTCTTTAAAATATTTACTTATCATATTTCAACCCATATCCCCAGAACAAATTACTTACACAGGGCAATCTAGAAAACTGTTTGAGTAATATTATTTACAAAATAATTCTGTTTGTAGAGATAGCATTTTTACCTTAGAATAAATGTGTTGATTCTCACCAGTTTGGCTTTAGTATTAGGGCAAAAACTTACATCACTCCAAACATGTCTCAACACAACCAATTCAGAGATTGAACAGATTAACCAAACCTGGCAAGAGAACTACAAATATTGTTCTTGCAAAATATTGTTTAGTGCAAGACAAGAAACAATGGGGAAAAATCATCAGCTTAGATGCACAGTTGCCTTAGAGAATGCATGTTTGTTTAGCAGTTCTGAAGCTGGAGGTGCAGCAGAAAGCATTGCTTTCATTACAAAGAAAAGGAACATATTTAATTATACTGATCTTTGCCAATTCAAAACATTTCATTTCTACAACAATTGATGTTGTATTCTTTTGGCATTTCTCTCTATCCCAAAAGATGCTTGAGCAACCAAAAAGAGTGAGAAAAACCAGCTGGTTGAGTAATACTGATCGTGTAGGAGCTATTAAATGATGACTCAGACACTGAATCTGAGCCTGTAAGCCAGGAGACACATCAATCAGAATCCTCAAAATTGCCATTCTGGAAGAATAGTTTACTCAGCAAACCCTGCGCTTCCATCTTAGAAAATACCAGTAGGTCCTAAGTCAGGAAGGAGGAAGTACCTGGAATTTGTGCACTTGTCTGGGGGCAATGATATTTACTCTCAGATAGATATGAGCAACAAAATGTTCAGTGAAATCCTATATGAATGCCAGCTATGCTTACATCAATATTGTATGTTACATTTGGTTTTATCCTTTGAAAAGCTGAAAATAAAGCTCCACAAGGCTGACACTTACAGCTTTGACAAAGTCTATTTCACAAAGATCCTGTAGAATCCCCAAACATATATTGCACACAACTGGATTTAAGTTTTCAATTGCTGGAGCATCATTTCCATCACTGTACATGTAGTTTAGCTCATGGCTTCCATTTGGGTTTTGATCTTTAATCCCATTAGCATTTTCCAGTTTGATCTTTTTACAAGGGGAATTAGCCATTTCACAAGATAATATATTTTCATCTTCTTTGCTCTCCAGAAACTTGCATAGTTCATGAAATAAATCCTGATGTATAAAAAAACAAACAAACATAGAAATCTGTCAATATGGTTTCGCGTTCAACATGGGAAAACAGCACCAAGTTATCATTAAAGGGATGCCTCAGACTGAAAGCTACAGGTTCTGTTTATCTGCACAAGAGTTTTTAACAAAACTTATATCAGATAATCAGTGATCTTGTAAAGTAAATTTAAAGCCAGTGAGTTTTAGTTTTGAGTAAACCTGAATAGGACTAGGCTGGGGATCATAACACCAACACTAGAGAGAATGAATGTTCTCCATTAAAGAATATGACAATTTTGGGCGTAGACTCTTGGGCAGGTGACAATAAAAGAGAGGCGAGAAGAAAATAGGCTGAAAGAACTCAAGTAAGCCATAGCTCTGTCCGACAGTGCAGATTCTTACAGTATCTTCAGTAAGATTTATCTATTGTTAGGAAATCCTCCAAAAGTATTTTGAGAAAAAAACTAGGTCTGAGATAAAATATTGACAGTCAAAGAATATGGTACCATGCTTGATAGATCAATGATCTAAATCATCATAAAGCAGATACGTATTCCAGCAATCCCTTCATATTTGCTGGATGAAATGCCTGAAATGCTAAACAGAATAAGACTGAAACTGTTAAAAGAACCGTGACCCGTCAAAAGCGCGAACGTCATAAGCGCGCCGACAACACCGCAGCGCTAAAACCGCGATTTCAAAAGCGCGCT